CCAGCACTTTGGGAAGCCGAGGCAAGTGGATTGCCTGAGCCCAGAGGTTCAAGATCAGCCTGGGCAACTTGGTGAGACCTCATCTCTACAATAAATCAAAAATTAGCTGGGCGTCGTAACATGTGCCTGTAGTTCCTGCTATTTGGAAGGCTGAGCTGGAAGGATCACTAGAGCCTAGCAGGTCGATGCCAAGGTGGCTGTGAGTGTGCCACTGCCCTCCAGTCTGGGTAACAGAGTGACTCCAACTCAAAAAAAACAACAAACACCCATCTTGTTTTTCTTCAGAATTATTTTAGCTACTCTTGACCTTTTACTTTTCTACAGTAATTTTATTATTAGTTTGTTGAGTATTAGGAAAAAATGCCAAGAAAAAGATTTCAGAAGATTTTGGATTATTTGGGGGAAATCTGGCAGCTGTTTTTAGCAGCTGAAAATCACCCCTTTGTTATCCTTGAGGACCTTGTGTGTTGGGACTTCAACACGAAGGGCTTCTGCCACTGCATGACACCCAGTACCAGGACAGCGAGGACTAGGTGGCTGGACTGACAGAGACTGGACCATCTGAAGGCTCGTCATGCTCATGGTGGCACCAGGCTGAGAGGGATTAGCTACTCCGTATGGATCCAGACGCCCTGTGACTGTTTCAACCAACAAAGTGCGAAGTGAAGTTTCATGACCTGTGAGGCTGGTCATAGAAGGGTTGCATGCTGTGAGAAAGTCAAGCCACATCTGAAGTCCAGGGGAGGGGACAAGAGGCCCCCACAACACGTGTCAGGGCCTTAATTTTGGGGATACAGAGGATGGGCTTTATTGTGTGGCCCCTGTGGAAAAACACCATCCACCAAAATGGTCTTCAATAACACTCTGCAGCTGTTTTACCCAAAAGTCTTACACATTTTTATTTTTCATTTGTATTATATTTATATAGAGTAATTAAATAACAAAATATTTTTTACTATGTTTATGAGGAGACTCCTAAAACTTTGTGGGAAAATGGAATAAAAAGAAAAATATAAACTTTATTTCTCAACATAAGCTCCATGAAGTTGGAGACAGTTTCACAAATGGCTACACCAGCCATTTAGTTCACCCCTAACGAACTGAGGGTCCTAGGAATCTAACCATGTCAATGCTGTCTTTTTTACTTTTTTAACTGAGGGGAAATGGGTGCTTTTTACAGATTTTTTTAAGATTAGTAAACAAAAATAAGTCAGAAGAGCCAAATTGGGGCTATAACGTGGATGTCTAACAATTTTCATTGAAACTCTTGCAAATCTGTCCTTGTTTGACGAGTGGAATGAGTAGGAGCATGAAAATGGTGGAAAAGACTCTGGCGAAGCCTTCTCGAAAGTTCTTCCGCAACAGCCATGGCTAACTTTCTCAAAATACTCTCATAATAAGCAGATGTTATCATGCTTTGGCCTTCCAGAAAGCAAATAAACAAAATGCCTCGGCATGCCAAAAACTGTTGCCATGACCTTTGCCCTTGACTGTCTGCTTTTCCTTTGACTGGACCACTCCCACTTCTGGTAGCCATTGCTGTGCTTGTGCTTTGTCTTCAGGATCATTCTGGTGAAGCCATGTTCCATCTCCTGTTACAATTCTTTGAGGAAATGCCTCAGAATCTTGATCCCCCTGTTTAAAATTCCCATTGAAAGCTCTGCTCATCTGCAGCTGATCTGGGCACAACGGTTTTGACACCAGTTAAGTGGAAAGTCTGCTCAACTTTAATTTTCTAGTCCTAATTGTGTGAGATGAACCAGTTGAGATGTCTGTGGTGTTGGCTATTATTTCTGCTGTTAATTATAAACGTTTCTCAATTAGGGAGCAAACCAGATGAATTATTTTCCTCAGAAACTGACGTGTATGGTCTGCTGCTATTGAGCGCCACCTTCAACATCATCTCAGCTTTCTTAAAATGAGTTATTCACTTGTAAACTGCTGATTTCTTTGGGGCATAGTTCCCATAAACTTTTCGTAAAGCATAAATGATTTCACCATTCTTGCACCCAAGTGTCATCATAAACTTGTTGTTTGTTCTTGCTTAAATTTTAGGAGAATTCATGTGGCTCTGAAAGGGGCTCTTTTTTAACCAATATCCTGCTTAGTGCCTCAAACCAGATCCACTGCAGACATGTTATAACAAGATAGTACACATTTATTTTGGTGGGGAAAAAAAGAAATCCATGTACAGTTTTTTTGTAATACACATTTTCATCAACTCTTTAAAGACTTCCTGTATTCCTAGTAACCTTGAGTTTTTGTCATCACCATCAATGAGATTCCTGAAGACTAGAGGGGCAAGAGTTATAACTGATACCTCCTCTACATAAGGATCTTCTAAACATTTCCTTTACCCAACATATGAGATACAAGTTACTCTGAGACTATATTTTAGGAAGCACATACCCACAGTAGCAACACTTTACAATGTAGAGGTACCAATTACTTTCCGGGCCATATGTTCTTTTCTGTTAGCTGGGTACCAGAAATGAGTAGTACTGGGAGAGGGAATCAGACTTTAGCTATAGCAACTTTATAATACACAAATGGAACAGTACAATGTGATCTATTCATATGTGTTCAAACAGATCAACAGATCATAGTTGGGGTTTTCTTGTCTGAAGAAACATGTCTTCTGAACTTTCATTGAAGAAAGCAGCTCCAGTTCCCAGCTGTTCTGGGTGAGTGCGTTGTGACTGCAGGTGGAAAGCCCTGTGCACTGCTCTGGTGGGCTGGTACCACCCAGACCAGGCTGACTCTGCTCTGCAGCACTTCCCACCTGGGGCCAGGTTGCTGGAGGCTCTGTGCAAGATGACCCTGGCCCCAGTACATGCTGCCTCTGCTCTGTCCAGAAGGTATTTCAGAATACCTGCAGGGAGAGTGCCTGTCACTGTCAGTGTGAACACAGGCAATGTCGGGCTTCTACCTGAGATCAAGTGGCCTCAGGTATCTATATCTGTATCTGTAGCTAACAAAGCATTTCCCAGCTCCACTCTTGCACGAGACCCAGACTCCAACCAAAACCCAGATGTGGCCCAGGCACCTCAGACTGTGGACAAAACCAGCCATCAACATCCCCATAGCAGGCCAACCATGGACACACATTCAGGGAGTCCTGGCCCTAACTGTGTCACCTGGAGGGCTATGTGCTCAGAGAGGCCACCTGGGCAGAAGGGGGCAGGCAGTCCAAGCAGGAGGGAAATCCGCAGAGAGCCAAACCCTTAGCCAGGCCAGGAGCTTGTCCTGTTGCTCCCAAGCATGGCTCCAGCAGCTCCCCCAGGAGAGCCTACAGCCTGGGTGGCATCGCCAGGAACCTCCCACCTTGTCCCTGCCCACCTTCAGCAGGAGCCCCTGACACAGGGGAATGAGCTTAGCAGAGAGGCTGAGGCTGCCTCTCAGCTCCACCCACACTGCAGAATCCAGCTCTCAGTCCAGGCTGCCTGGCCAAGGCCAGAACCACAAGCCTGAATGTAGCTCCATGCAGGCCCACGCAGGCCTGGGAGAGCAGGTCAGGAGAGGCCGGGTCCAGCCACAGGAGGTACACATGGTATCCTCTCACCCTCTGGGAAGCAACGCCAAGCAGTCCTTCACAGGAATATTTCAATGGCATTCCGTCAGTCACATACCGTGTGGGAGACACTCCCAGTTGTGAATGAGTTGGCCCCCAGTGTCCCTCTGCAGACAGGACAGTCCTCATCAGCAGGCAGGGTTGAGCAGCTGGGGGCAGCACTGACTGCTCCTCTCCTCAAACTCATGCCAGCTGCAGACTGGGGGGGTAAGGGGCAGCCAAGGGCTGGAGCTGGCATGGCCACCAGAGACCCTCAGGACAGCACCTACAGGGGAGTGAACTGAGGCCAAGGGCCAGGTGCTCAGAACCCAATCCCGGGCAGCGCCAGGGCCATTGGGACTGCAGCCTTTGGAGAAGTCACCTCCTACTCAAGGATGGCTCCAAGCATGTCAGCATCAATGTTTCTTCTTGAGAACTTCTGATAAATCAGCTATGTTCACAGTTGTGACCTTCTAAATGATTTCCTTTAAAGTCATGTCCCAGGAAGAATAAAGAAGACCAAATGCAATCCTGATGAGGTTCCTCCATTCTTCCAGAATCGCAGTCCATTTTCCCATTGAAAAGTACATTTATAGTTTGGAAACCCCTAGCAAAAATGTTTGCTCTCCCTCTTCACTCTCTGGTGAGTCTGGTCACAACCAGGAAGCTTCCAAATGTAAGATCCCGCGGGTGAAGGCAGAATGGGGGCAACAGTGCCTGGGAGCAGATGAGGGCTTCCCACGGCCCTCAGCTGGAAGGCCAAACCAGAGGAAGGAGGACCCTCTGGCACCATTGGCATCGATGGTCTGACAGGGATCCCATTCTGGACGAGGCACTCAAGGCGGAGTTGCCTGCCTGCTCCTGCCCCAACACGTCCACCCCAAGCACCACCCTGAGGCCACAATGCCCCTCTTTCCAAGCAAGACCGAGGGGGGCCTGCCCTCTTGGGAGCTACAGAATATGTGCATCGGGACAACACGTATGGCGCCTCCTTCCAAATTACGGAGACTTCCCCTCCACAGACAACTAAGGCTTGGCACTGAGCTCCCTAGGACAAATGCTGCTAGGCAGAAGCTTATCCTGTCTGTTGTCCACCACAGCTGGCCACAGTTGTGCTGTGCAGCCTCAAGCTCACACTGACAGGGACTGCTCCGCCCAGCCTCTGGGGCTGGCGTCCCTGGCCTGAGGGAGCAGACCCTCACCCCTTCTGGAGGTAAGTGGCTGTCCCTCGGCACTTGGCAGCCTTGTACCCCCACCCCAGGGCCTGAGGGAGCAGATGGCCACATGTCCGGGCCACTCCTTCTGTCTCTGGAAAACGAGCTCAGTCAAGGTGACCCACAGGCAAGTCCCATATGGTGAAGGTCAGGAGCACATTATCTGCACAAGCCCCTTGCTGGCACCCCACAGCCCTCAGGGAAGCAGGAACACATGGACACCTGCCCGTACTTACTTGACAAACTTGTCCACGTGGGACATGGAGGCCTCGTAGTTCTTTCCTCCAAACTCCTGACAGTGCAAGGCCATGAAGTGCGGCTTGTGCGTGTGTACAACCTGGGGAGAAAGAAGCATACAGTCAGGGACACTAGAGCCAGGCACCATGCTGTCTCTTCCATGTGCCCCAAAACCTGGGCACCACAGGGGCCGGCAGGGTGGCAGGGACAAGGGCCACACACCTGTGGCCAAGGGTTCTTTTTATAAGATTCTGGGAATCACCTCACCTCTGTGCTTCCAGGCATTTTTTTCTTCTGGGGTCTTCCATTTTCCCGTTACTATAAATCCCTCAGAAAAGTCTCAGGATTTCTTAGAACCTTTAATAATCTAGGGGCATGTTTTCCAATTATAAAAAATACGAGGCGAGTGAATTGCCTGAACTTGTAAGTTCAAGATCAGCCCAGGCAACTTGGCAAGTCCTCATCTCTACAATAAATCAAAAAAATTATCTGGGTGTGGTAGCATGCCTGTGGTTCCGGCTGCTAGGAAGGCTGAGGCGGAAGGATCGCCAGAGCCCAGCAGGTTGACGCTGGGGTGACCATGAGTGTGCCACTGCACTCCAGCCTGGGCAACAGAGTGAGACTCCAACTAAAAAAAAAAAAATACACATTGATTGCAGAGCACCTGAAAAGTACTAAGGTAAACAAGTAATAATCTCACAAGACAGCCACCATTAACACCTGGGTATGTCCCTTAACTAGGGTGCAAGTGTGGGCAGGCACATGTGCATGTGTGTGTGCATGAGCATGTATCAGCATGTGTGTGCATTGTGTGTGCATATGTGCACTACATGAATGTGTACATGAGCATGTGTAAGCACATGTGTACGTGTGTATGTGTGTGTGCATACGTGTGCGTGAACATGTGTGAAGATGCATGTGAGCATGTGTGTGTACACAAGGATACACATGCATGTGTGTACACATGTGAATGTGTGTTTGCATGTGTACATGTGCACATGTTAGTGTGTGTATGAGGCAGGTGCTTTGCCATCCTATCTATAGCATAGGCAGGCACTGGCACACAGCAACAACTTGCCCGATCACACAGCCACTAAGTGGCAAGGCAGGAACCTGAGCCTGGCATCACAGTCACTGGTCTACCCGCCCCACCCTACCCCACGCTGTACTGCCATCCAGCTTCCCGCATCCCTCAGAGTATGCATCTCTGAGATCTCCAGCAAGGATTCTGACTTACTAATCCCCACTGGAGCATGCTGAATCTTTTCTAAACTTCCTAAACTTTCATAGCTAAAGAGCAGCAGAATAAGTATCCCTGTTGACAGCTTCTTGATAGTGACTTCCATCAAGAAGTTCTATGAAGACTCAAGGATAAGAATTCTCAGAGCACTGTCCAGCTGCCTTTCCGTGCTCTATACCTCACTGCTCCGGACAGCCCTGATGGCCACATAACCTGGACAAAGACCATGTCTTTCCCAGCAGCAAACTTAGGTGGGGCACAAGCAAGCAGCCAGGGTAACCACACGTCACTTGAGCAGGAGGAGGCAAGGTACTCACTGGCCCCACTCTCCTGAGCCTGAGGGGGCAGCACCTCACAGGGGTAAGCCCAAGCACAGGGCCCACTGTCAGATGTCGAGAGGCAGGGCCCCAGCGCTACTGGAGGACCTAGCCTAGGCAGGGAGCATCCTAGGGGGAGGGGGAGAAGGCAGGAGTAGGGAAGGAGTCAGTCGCATCTGTGCTGGGCTCGGGAACATGGAAGGGGCTCACTAGGATACAGCAGACCTACAGGCACTACCCGCCTCCCAAGAGCCCAACAGCTTGCCACGGTCCCGGGGTACAGCTAAGCAAGTGGACACCCAGCAAGGCAGAGCCTGGGCTCTAACCATGCACCTCCTGGCAAGGCTCTCCCACGCTGAGCACGGGCACAGGCTGCCCCAGCACTCATGAGGCCAGACAGCCCCACGCCCTCGCGTCCAGGCTACTGTACCTCTCCCAGAGGACGGCCAAATGTTCTTCCCAAAGAACCGGCCTGTCCACTTGCGCTGTGCTCAAAACAACATCCTCAGAACGGACAACCCTCCAGCACCAGCGGTCTGAGTGTCACCAGGCCTCTCCTGGAGGCAAAACTGTGTACACTTGGGCATTCCAAGGTGGAGGAGGGCGGGGTGGGCTCCAGATCTGCCCAAGTGTCTCCAGAACGCAGAAGAGGTCGTGTTGCCTCTACCAGGCCACCATGCATGTCCTCTACCCTGCCAAGGGCTGGCCACCCAGGCCCTGACCAGGGAGAACCTGTCCAACGCTCCACCTGGAAAAAAACAACCTCTACCTGTCTTCTTGGTCACACAGAAGACAAGAGGAAAGAGTGGCTGGAGGCACTGTGGGCCACCAAAGACTGGCCCTAGCCCTTCTGCCAGGCCATGAGCTGTGCCTGTGAGGTGTGCCCTAGTCGCTGGTCACTTTGAGGAGAAGGCAGCCAGGGGGCTTGGCCCAAGCCATCAGCCCTCAGCGCAGGGAGCCTGCCACACCAGAGTGGGGACAGGGCCCACAGAGGTGCCATTCCCTTCCCCATCAGTGCTGAGATAACAGCTCTCCAGCCCACGCCCATCAATAGAGTATGGAGAGCTCACGTAGATGTCCATGTGCTCCGCTGGCCAGGCAGAGTTCTGCCCCCTCAACCGCCCTCCACCACATGTGCTGCTCTCCCGCAGCCTTCCAGGCCTGTAGCCTCAGACCTCACTGTCATCCCTGCCTTCAGTGCAGTTCACTGCTTCTGAGTAGCACAGTCCCTGTCGTGATGTCCCGTGTGTAATGCAGGCCCTCAGCCTCATTCCCTCTCTGTAAAATGGAGATATCCACAGTGCAGAGTCAAGGACCTGTTGGGAGGAACAAAGGAGACAGAGCCTGAGGGCCCTCCTGCAGGTGTTGACGTGATGAGCTAACGCACACCTGCTGGGACCCTACCATCAGCTACTGAAGGCTGACTGCTCCTTGCTCTGACCCCTGGGCTATTCTGCCACTCTGCTCATGCTCAGTGTGATTTATGTACTTGACTGCCATCCCCAAGACTCTGCCCCTAAATCTGTCTCCACTAAGAATCACTGCTTTCCCCACTGCCAGCGTTCTACCCGCTGAGCTCTCTTAGAGTTAAGATCCCATTTTCAGGGGTCCAGCTTTGGCCACCACTTCAGCTGCACCCCATGAGTCCAGCTCTGCAGAGCTAAGCCTGCTGGGAATGAAGCCCAACCCTGGACTCATGCAGAGCCCACCTGACACCTCCCACCTGGGCCTGCTACACACGCAATGCCAGGAGCTGGAGCCAGCTCTGCTGTAGGTGCAGGGGTAAACTGGACAAAGCATCAAGTGAGCACAGCAGCCTCCAGACACACTCAGGACACTAGCACCAGATGCTCCATCTGGGACCCTCACCGCAAGGAAGCCAGACTCAGGAAGGCTGCGTGTCCCTGAAGTTCCCAGGGCTAGTGAGGTCTCAGCTCCTTCCCAAGTCTCACAACCACATGCTGGGGGCTCCAACCTCATTGTGGGGTCTGGGGACTGCACCACACCACACAGCACGCAGCCTCAATTCCTCTTGGGGCTGCACACAAGACCCCTTGCTAGATTCATGCTGTCATTCTGGAGGACCTGAGGCCTCCATTCAAAGCCCACATGGATTTGCCAGGTGGGTGAATAAGCTGCCAAGGCAATGGGTTCTTCAGCCCCGCTGGGCAGCCTTCAGAGAACACAGTCTGGCCAACACATCAACCTCACGGTCATGACAGACCTGCAGCCAGGAGCAGCCATGTCTTTAATAGTTGCATTCTTTCTACATACTTCACCCTGACTAAATCATACTTCTTGGGGGGAAAAAACCCATACTTAATAGGTTTTCACTGGCAAACCAAAGATTTTCCAAGTTAAATTAATAGTATCTGAAACTAAACTTTGATGGGTTGTAAGTTTAGATAAGTGACCCAAACAAACAACTCCTCTTGGCATGTGTGTTTAAATTCCACATCTCCTACACAATTGCTCAACAATACTTACTTTCTAATGGACTCAACATGAGTTGAACTGTATCAACAACATAAATACGAGTGGGGAACCCCAAAACCCCAGAGTTTTCTTTTGGAGGGCGGGCCCCTTGCAGCACACTTGAAGTTAAATGGCCAGCCAAAGTTTTTATCTGTAAGTTCTGGAAAGGTTGCATCATGATCTGCAAAAGAAACATCCTGAGTTGTGGCAAACGAGTGACTGGCCCTTCCAGCGTGACAACACACCTGCCCACGCTGTGCTGAGTGGCCAGCAGTTTCTGGCCAGAAACGGCATGACCCTTGTGCCCACCCTCCCTGTTCGCCAGGCCTCACCCCAAGCAACTTTTTGTGCTTCTCCGGATGGAAAAAGTCCTCCAAGGGAAGCGTTCTGCCGATATGGAGGAGGTGAAACAAAAAGCACTAAAAGGCATCAAAATTGATGAGTTCAAAAACTGTTTTGGGCAGTGGGAAAAGCGTCTCAATAGGTGTCCTGCATCAAACGGAGAGCACTCTGAAGGTGACTGAAGTTTAAACATGTAAAAATAAATACACAATTTTGTGAAAATAAATCCCAGGTTTTTGGAGTCGCCCTGTACACTGTTTCCCCAAGTTGGCAAGATTTCAGGCATTTGACTATGAAAAGTAAGATTATGGATAGTTATAACATGATAAATTACCACTGAACATCAATGGGTCTGCATCTTAACACGTGACTTCCGTCTACATGGAAAACTGTATCAGGAGCCTTAAGTACACACTTTCATGCAGCCATTGCAGAGGGTCCCATTAATTCAAACAAGAATGGCTTGGTTTCCTCAGAAGCAAGAGTATATTAAATGGCTGTGCTCCTAGCAGAGCCCCTACAGTGGAGGCCAGACATCAGCAGACAGAAGGGACCCTCTGCCCACTGATGTGATGGGGGAGGAGAGGAAGTTACAAGGCCACACCACTCTTTAAACAAACATCATCACATGGAAGCACCCTTGGATTTCAACGACCTGGGAACAACTAGATTTTACTAGCAATACACAGGGTATCGCCTCAAACAAATAAAGTGGTGAAGGAACTG